CGAGCAGGGAGCCCGATGCGGGACTCGATCCCGGGACTCCAGGATCATGACCTGAGCTGAAGGCAGTCGCTTAACCAACTGAGCCACCCAGGCGCCCATAGAATTGTGTTTAACAGCAATCAGTATCCAGGGTCCTGCGCTAACAGGGAAATGTTCTCTTGTCCGGTGCGGCCTGCCTGGCACGCAGAGGAAGCGGTCAACGAGGTGAAGCGCCAGGCGATGACCGAGCTGCAGAAGGCCGTGTCGGAGGCCGAGCGGAAAGCCCATGACATGATCACAACCGAACGCGCCAAGATGGAGCGCACGGTGGCGGAGGCCAAGCGGCAGGCGGCGGAGGACGCGCTGGCCGTCATCAATCAGCAGGAGGATTCGAGCGAGGTGAGGGGCTGGCAGGGGCTTCCAAGGCAAGCAGATCATTTCCACTAATGCGAGTGCTCGGGTTTGAGTCCAGGAGGTCACAAATAAAAGCGGGTATTGGATTTTAGACAAACCGATCTTTGGCGGGGTGGGGATCAGAATAATTTGGGGGGAGTTCTAGCACTTGTGGAATCCATCAAGAGCTTGAGCAAATATTGTCTTTATTAAAGACCTATAAGGACGACTCTGCCAAGAAAGGTTTTTAATGTCTTTGGTGGGAAGTGCTCACAACTTCCTAGCACTGTTGAGAGGCTTCGGACTCAGCTGTGTCACACGTGTCTGTCAGCATGTGTGTGTGGTTTCCTTCTAATAGAAGGGGTTCGGTAGAGATGCCCTGTGCAGACATGCTCTCCAAAGAGGTACTGTGGGGCCGGCATCGCAGCCCCTCCCTTCACTATTGGTCCTAAATTCCATTGCGAAGACGGCCTCTGCATCAGCTCAACCTTTCTAAGCGATCCTCTGCACAGTCTCTTTTTTCCACATGATTTGTAATAACCACGATGTTGTCCATCACCTCACCACCAGAGGTGCTTTGTTTGAGTATTAAAATACACGCACGTAGCCCAGATGGCTCAAGGATCTGGGAAGTAACTAAAACACGGTACTTAACAGAATGCTTTTTAAAATAGAGCCTGCAAAGTCAGAACAACATGGTAATGCTTCGCATTAATTAATGCGGCCTCACAATCATCCCCCACCCTACAGTAACTCAGATAAAGGACCGTAGTTAGCTAGTCTCACCGAGCTGAACTAGCAAGAGCGTCAACTGATAAATCAATGGTCTACTACAATACATATCTATAATTTGTGAGGGAGAGTAAGAATTTAATTTGTACCAGGCTTCTCTGTAGATGAAAGACCCTGCGGGAATCACTCGATGCCCAGAGTTTCTATTTAATGTGTAGCAGATGAATAACAAGGGGACAAAAGGAATTGATTTTCAACATTTGAAAGTTTCTCAGGAAAAGAGGGACAAAGGGAAGTTTACTCTTTAACTGCTGACTTTTCCATTGTCGAATTAAGCTAGACATAAATTCAATTTTATTGGCATCTTGTGGCTAAGATATTTAAGGACCTTATTTTCTGTTTTGTTTTTTTTTAAATTTCCAACAACATCCTTTGGAGAGAATTTGTCCTGCTCCATTTAAGTTAGTAACACCATGAAGCACAGTAGTTGCCTTCACTGAAACATTATCACTTACACAACACTTTAGGGCTGTTACGTATAGTAAGAGTATTCTGTAGGCCACTAAATTCTAAAGATGGATGTTTAGGAAGAAATTGAGAACTAAGTCTTTGTATTTGGGAAATATTTGGGAATTTTTGTATTTGTATTTGGGAAATCTGTATTCCTTCAGTGGCTAAAAGCTTTGTACCTTTATTCCTGACATCTATCCAGAAAAATACATGATCTTGACACTAGTATTTAACATTTATAGACATAAGGGTCTTTATGGTCATTTTTGGATGCAGATCATCTAAAAGGCAACTTAAGCCTGATTTCTTACTTTTCTTCTCTTTAAACTGGAGTACCTCTTTAAAAACTTAGAGTCAGGGTGGGGGGCTTGATCCCTCCAATAATTGAGTTTCTTTTCTTCAAAAGCAATGTAAACATTTTCCTGAGAATAGGAGAGCAAAAGGTGGAAGAGAGATTTCATTGGAACGAAGCTGAGACTCCTCTAGACTTGGACAAAAGTCTGTACACACACATACTATAAAAGTGGTTTGACCAAGGACTTGACAGAAGTGAATCCCCTAGCCCTAAATTAATGTTGCTACTTCTTCTGAGGAATGACGGGGTCTGAGAATAGTCTGAGTGCCTGGTGGAGTAAGGTTAGTCAGCTCTATCTTTTGCCCAAATTTATAGGTAAATACTTTTTTTATTTTCCCCCTTAGGGATTCTTTACTTTTAATTTATGAGTGAGAGCAAAACTTTGACTCCAACACATTATTTTTCTTTAGTCTGCTCTTTCCTCCTACTGAGGAATATACGCCTTTTCATAGAAATGACCTGATAAAAGTGACCTGATAAAAGCAGTGATGCTTGCAAGTCACCTCAAGTCTATAAAGCTCCGTGGGCCCCTCCGGGACAGAACCAGAACTTTGGCTCTCTTGGGCTAGGATATAACTCCCTATTCCAGCCTTCACCATGGTTGGCCCCAGGGTGGGCATCTCTTAGGCCAAGACTGCTTGGCCCAGCTGATGTGCAGAGAAGAGAGTTCAGGTACTTCTCAGAACTCTCTTCTGTTTCAGGGGGTTTTCTTGAATTTTAGCTACTCAACCCCAAATAAGACCCATCTAGTATTGTACTGTAGAAATTTGATAAATTGTTCTTTGTTTTCTTAGAAAAATACGTAGGAGGTCTGGCTGCCATAGTAATTGGTTTAAAAAAAATCCCATTAAATATAGCAACCATTGATTTAAAAACTGTACTAAGAAATTAATGGGCATTCCTTTAAAAAAAAAAAAGTCGTGTTTGTGACCTGCCCGGGGCAGTCTGTGATTCAATACGTAGAACTCTAAATTACTCCTCTCCATGTATTCATGTATTCTTTCAATAACAAAGTTTTGAGCTTTTATTCTCTGCCGGGGAGGATGATACCTCTGCTTTCAGGTAGAGTACAGTTCATTAGAGGAGGCAAATCACTAAATTATAAGAGTCTTAACAGGTCCAGTGTGAAAGCTTCCGGAACTTGGGTTTCATTTCGTGTGGTACTGAAGGGTAATCAGGAACTGGTCAGCAGCTGCTCCCCTCTCCCTCCACCCCCATTGCTTCATCACTGTTTCCTTGGCCAGGGGGCACGGCAGCGCCTCTGTGCAGGTGGAAGAGAAAAGGTGGAAAAGGAAGCCGTGCCAGGCTTTGAGAACAGGAGGGCTCTGGGGCTGGTGAGTGTTTGGGAAGGCTCACTCAGGCTGCAGTGTGGAGAGAAGCTAGAGGAAACGAAAAGGAGGAACCAATCTGTTTCAGGAGACAGATGGGGATGAAGATGCTTGATGGTGGCACTGGGGGTGGAGGAAATTGTATCTGTTGGCCGGGAACCCATGAGATAAAACGGGCAGCATTTCTTGATGGGTTGGCTGTTAAGGAAGAAAGAAGAGGGCGTCCAGAAGAGGGGTTTGGGATATACACGTCAGGTGATCTTACTTGAACAATCTTCAGAAACTCAACTGGCTTTGATCTGCCCGGGGTATATGTTTTTCCTTTGGGGGAGAGGGTTGATAGAAGAGGTAACCTTCATTTTTTTGTGTGTGCATAAACAACACAAGTTAAAACATTTTAAGAAACTCAAATCAATGACTGAATCCAGCTAGACATATTGCCTCTGTGAATTGGAAAGCGTAAATAGCACAAAGTCTTAAATAGCTTGTGCTGTTCAATGTGAAAATCAGGAGAGTAGTATGTAAAGGCGGAGTACAGGGTGACCATACCTCCCAGTTTGAGTGACACAGTCCTGGTTTTACCCCTGTTGTCCCATGTAATTACCAAATGGTCCCTTTTATTCTCAAGTATTCTGGTTTGTATAATGAATTATATGGCCACACCACTTAAAGGCCATGCTCAGGCGATTTGATGGTCATCTTTTGCTAGCAAAGCTCCAGGGCAGGTGCATGGGGGCAAAAGAATCCAAGAGGAGGACCTGAATCCTGGCTCCAGCTCAGTTACTGTTTCAAGCACCCGGGGGCAAATCATTTCACTGCTGTGAGTCTTTATGTCTTCTTAAGGAATGAGGTGTTTTTTGCTACCGTACTCGCAGGAGTGTTTAGAAGTTTTTTGTCTGTTTTTGTTTTTTATTGAAGAATAGTTGACACACAGTGTTTTGAGGATTTTTTTTTATTCCTGCATTTTAATTCAAAGTGTTTTGAGAGCTGTAAATGCAAGGCATCATTATCTGCTCATATTTCCCACAGTCCTGCATCACAAAATACACTAAGCTTTTCTGACTGAAACAAGTCTTTTTCTCCCTTCTCTCCCTTAGTTTGAAGCCATCTGCTATTATAGACATGTACCCATCTCTTACTTAGATCATACATGATCTAATCTGAAACTACAAAAATGCATATGTAGATAATATAAATGCACAAAATAATTATTCTCCCCTTCATAGGGACTTCAAGAAGGAATCTGAGCTTCAGCATCAGAAGACCAGCTCTCTAGACTGAGTTTCTTCTGAGCTGTTTGTGTTAAGGGCTGATGCTCATGAATACCTCATTCTATGATTTCTGAGTTTAGCCTTCCTCTTTCTACCTGTTTTCACACATGTACAATGGACCTACTAATGCCCATTCTGCTTAGGAAAACCAGTGCTTCTGAAAAGTAGGCAGTAAAGAATGGAAAAATTCCAGAAGGAGGAGACAGGAGTTGAAAATCTTGAACTGGGGAGAAGAGCAGTAAGAAGGTGTAGAGTCCGGAATGACTAGGCACAAGTATTATTTGCCCCAGAGGTGGGTTGGGGGGGGCTGGTTATCATCTATGCTGGGGCTCTTCTCAGAGGAAAAGGGGATGCTCATGCCAGGACAGGCCAGTCCTGTACACCAGGCTGTCCCTGGCATGCAGAAATCCTCACTCAGCATAGTTGGTGGGGGTGGCAGGAAGTTTGTCTGGCCTGAGGTGAAACTGGCAGACCTGCGGTGAATATTTAACTCTACCAGGCGTAGTAGAAACTGCTTCTTGTATTCTCTGTGCTGTAGCACATTTACTCTTCCTGTGAGTCCAGGTAGTGTAGACGGTGCTCTTGACCTCATTTTGCAGCCGAGGAAAGCTGAGTCTTGGGAGGTTCAGCCTCTGCTCAGGGTCTCAGCAGTAAGTGTGAGCTGGCCCTCAACCCAGACGGGCTGCCTTCTTAACAGCCACATGGCAATAGAGGAATTTTTTTTTCCTGATTGTATATTAGTGTATCTATTTCTTCATTGGACTTCCTTCAGATTATTCCTACCTAGTTCTCTAACTTTTCTTGGTTTTA